CATATTGATACATATTTAGATAAATACATATTTGCTTAAATATAAGCACCCTTCGTATCAGCAGTTGGGAAATCAGGAAACCTATTGTGCTGGCTGAGTCTGTTCTCAGGGACCTCTCCATAATGTTGAGGAGCAATGATTGATATTAGTTTGAAGACTAGGGTGCATCTTTTTCATTTTGTGTTTCATACTTTGGACATGTAGCTAATGAGGCTTTTCCTTGGAAAGGGACATCATCCTTGGACAAAAAAATGGAGGGACAGCAAAGGAGAGGAAGACCCCAGCAAAATGGATTAACCTGGTAACTTCAGCAATAAGCTCTAGTGTGTCAGAGATGAGGATGGCACAAGATAGGGTAGAGTTCAGGGCAACTGTTCATAGTGTCACTGTGAGTTGAATTTGACTTGATGATACCTAACAACAACAAATACATATGTGGTTGTTGTTAAGTTCCGTTGAGTCAAGCATAACTCATAGTGACACTATGAACAAAAGACCTGAACTCTGGTCTGTAGCTATTGTCATTTCTCTAAGTTCATAGTTTCTAGAGATATATTACATAGGAAGTGGGTGTTACTCCTGCTTCACAGACTGTCTTAATCTGGGAACTCCACCACACACTGTCCACTATGGAAAATCACTGTGGCATTTGATACACCAGTGGCACAGTGTTCAGTATCACAGCAACCTCAGTACAGCAAATTGACAAACTATTGTTGTACTACTTAGAAGAATGTCCATTCCAAACACAACACCAGGCCAAAGTGCCACAGGCCTCATGGCCCAGCTGATTTTTAAATACACAGGCCTGCCCACCAGGCCCTGATTAGCTTTAAACAAGAGGCTTCCAGCCCACAGCTCATTGTTAGCCAAATCTAGCAAATACAATCAATTCACACACAGTTGTGAACGAAATAAAACCAACCAAACAGTTCACACCCAACCCTCAGCCAAAACAAGAACTCACATTTCAGAATTCAATGACTTCACACATGCGCCTCCAAACTGAAGGCTAAGTTGGGACTCAGCCAACTTTTGATACAGGGGCCCACCCAAAAGACTTGATTTGCCCTATAAACAAGAGGCTTCCATCCCACAGCTCATTTTTAGCCAAATCTAGATAGATATATAGAGAGATGATAGATAGATAGATAGATAGATGATAGATAGATAGATAGATAGATAGATAGATAGATAGATGAATAGATAATCTTTTATGTTTTAAAATTACTTAACATTATTCTATAAAATATAACTTGCTGTTGTTAGTGTCACTGAAGACAACTCATAGTAACCCAGTGATTCCTACCCTATTCTGTGCCATCAGCATCTCTACCACACTAGAGCCCATTATTATAGTCATTGTGATAACGTCAAAGTACAATAAAATGTTACATTTATAATCATTAAAACATGGTAATATTAGATAAAAATAAATTAATTAAAAACAGACTGGTGTTCATATAGAAATGTAATGTACAAAGATTTATCAAATAAGTCACTTCTGTATAGATAAGGTTTTACATCTTCTAAAAAATAGGTTAGAAATAGAAATTTTAAAAAAAAGGATTTTACTTTGTTCCTTCACAACTTACACTGCAATTAAGTGGTGTATAGTGAAATGTAGAGATAAACACACACATATCAATAATAAACTAAGAATTAGTGGATAACAGAGTGATGAAAAACTCTGAAGTTTGACCATGGCAGGTTTTACCATAGAAAACATAATTAGTTTCATTTTATTTAAATTATAATTTTTCATATGAAACAAAATTATTACATACAAATACTTTATAGGAATATTTTTGCTTTTCAAACATACTCAAATAGCTCTAGCAAGAGAATTTTCATAATCTACTGTTATGTGCAGTGGAGTCGATCCTGGAGTCAATTCTGACTTACAGCTGAAAAGATTGAATTTAAAATAGTCCCTATAGTTCTCAGCTGAATTAAACTCAGGTTTCTATAGTTCTCAGCTAAGTTAAACTCAGGAATTTTTCCATTGTCTCGAGTAAAGCCCCCACACCCAGGTATCCAGGGCAACAGTATTTCAAGAATGGCTAGCAGAAAGGCAGAGAAAACAAGCAAAGATTGTTTCTCAACTGATAACCCATGTGCCTGTTTCCCGACTGATAACCAATGTATCTTGTGCTTTTCCACTGTCCTGGAGTTTGAACTCATTGTATACTTAAGAATTTGTGACACCACCCTATAGTTAAAGATCTATCTAACTGCTACATGTGCTACGTGACTGCCGCAAGTGCTACGTGCAAAAATGCTGTGTAAACCCTGAGCGAACACTGAGCCAATGAATTCAAACTGTGCTTTCATTACCCAATGAGAAGCTGATACTCAGTTGTATCCCCCTAAAATGTATAAAAAAAACCAACTTTGTCTGCTCCTGGTCGGCTCCTCTGTCTCCTGCGAGAGATAAGAGTCAGTCAGCCCGGAGCTCCGCAATAGCAATAAACCTCTTATCTCTTGCTGTTGCATCAAGCCGGTGTCTTGGAGTCTTGGGTCTTCGCCGTCCACTCGGGACAGAACAGGACCAGCGGTTCGGGGGTCCTTCACAGCGACCCTATGGACAATAGCTCTGAACTCTGCTCTTACTTGAGCCAGCCAATTTCACCATTTCCCACACACTTGCCCCCATTGCCTCAGGCGCGGTGTCAATCCATCTCCTCCAAATTCTTCCTCTTCTGCACTGATCCCTCTACCTTTCCAAACATGATGGACTTGATCCAAGGACTAATCCCTCCAGGCAACACACCTAAAGTATGTGAGATGAAGTTTCATATCCCTTGCCTCCATGGAGCAACCTGTTTTCACCCTCTCCAGGATGGACCTGTTTGTTCTCTTGGTTGTCCATGGTATGTTCAATGCTCTTCTCTAGCACAACTCAAAGGCATTGATTCTTCTTTTATCCTTAGTCATTGTCCAGCTCTCAGATGCATAGCAAGCAACTGAGACGACCATTGTAGGGATAAGGTGCACCTTAGTTTCTAGACTGACATCTAGGTGGCCAATTTGTGAGTGGAACAGAAATATAGTAAATAAGAAACAATGACAAAAACCAAAACAAACTAATCAGTCAGGAGTCTACTAATCTATTGCTTAACATTTCTACTTCTAAGTTTTGAACCTATGTATATTTTTTAAGTATGCACCAAAAATATTAAAAAGGTTTCAAAAATGTTCTTAATTAGGAAAAAATATACAAATATAAGGATAATAACAAGTAAAGGGGTAAATGTCTCAGAGTAATGTTAAACAGTTGAGTCTAGTAACTGAAAAGTTCCACCCAGAAATTCCTTAGGAGACAGAGTTAGCAATTTGCATGTGAGTTTCAAAACACTATAAAGTAGTTGTATTCTATACACTTGGAGTCACCAGAAGTAAAAATCAACTCAGTGGCAACTAACAACAAAAACAAAAAGATTGACTTAACAAATTGAGAATGAAGAATTGTTTTAATAAATTTGCAAAGAAGTAACTATATCTTATGTATACCCAACATAGATTTCTGATTTTAATATTAGGTAGAAAAAAATTGGCTATACACAACACAGTTACTGAGTACTGTACCATAGATAGACTTTGCTGCAGGTTTTCAAAGGAAAGAGAATATTGACTATCTTTTCCCATGGAGCAGTTGGGGAATCTGAACTGGGTGCCATGGTATTTGTGTCACTACCATCATTTTAATAAATGAGTAAACAAATAACAAACCTTAAATTCATTGCTGTTGAGTCAGAATGAACACACAGCTCACTTTGCAGCAGTTTTCTGAGGCTATAAATCGCTTGGGAGAAGATTGCCTATTTCTCTCATGGATTTGAGCCACTGAAGAGGCATGGTCTTCGAGTTTACAATGAAACTTTCTGTGGATTACAGAATCAACAGTTCCTATCACTCTATTGATAGACATTAATTCCAGGCTATAGAAACAAAGGTATTTGTTACTTTTCTTGCTTCATCTTTTCTTTTATAAGGGATGATATAAAAACGAAATAGTGACCAAACTTTGACACTGAAATGCAATGTTGTAACTTACACCAGTTCTATGAACAACAGATCTGAAACTTGTTAAAACTCAATCTTCACTATCACTGCCAGCCATGATAAAGCCCCGTGTTGCAGACATTGTGCCAGTCAATCTTGCTGAGAGTCTACCTCCTTTTCCGTACCCTTTAATTTTTGCAGTATAATGTCTTTTTCCAAGGACTTGTCTCTCTTGACAATGTGCCAACTGTGTAGGAGATAAAGCCTCACTATCCTTGCTTCTAAGGAGCATTCTACTTGTACTTTCTCCAAGACAGATTTGTTTGCTCCTTTGGCAAACCATGATATATACTCAATACTCTTTTTTCAATATAATAATTTAAAGACATTGATTGTCCTTTCGTCTTTTTAATTCATTGCCCAATTTTCAGAAGGATGCAAAGCAACTGAAAAATACCATGATGTCAATCAGGTACATCTTAGTCTTTGAACTGACATCCTTCCTAATTAGCACTTTAAAGAGTTCCATGCTAGCTTTTTTCCCCCAAGGTAATAATATTTTAATTTTTTTTGTTGCTTTTATTATGAATATTGATTGTTCATCCAAGTAAAATGAGATCATTTGCAATTTCAATATTTTCCCGATCTATCACAATTTTACTTATCAGTCACGTGGTGAGGACTTTAATTTTCTTGATATTAAGATGTAATCTATATTGATGGCTGTAGTCTTCTATCTTATTCAGTTAGTGCTTCAAATAATTTTCACTTTCAGCAAGCAATTTTGTATCATTTGTAAAATTCAGGTTGTTTCCGAGTCTCCCATAAATTTTTATTCCATTCTTCTTCACATCATATTATGGGATAAATAAAATCTCCTAAAAGATAACTTGGCAGAAAAATATTTAGACATAGAAAATAGTGTTTCCGAAATGAAGAAAATGGTTTTCCTTGTTGGATCAAAATTAGCAGTTAACAAAGGAGAAAGTAATTTCTTAATTTTTAAAAAAGACACGGAGTACTCGCTCTCTTATCTGTTTAGTCCTCACACCATAAATGATGGGGTTAAGTGATGGTGGAATAACCAAATAGAGGTTAGCAATAAGAATGTGAATGTAGCGTGGTATCTTGTGTCCAAATCGGTGAGTAAGAAAAGAGAAGACTGAGGGGATGTAGAAAACACAGAGGACCCCAACATGAGAGCCACAGGTACTTAGAGCTTTCACCCGTGCATCTTGGGATGGGAGCCGGAAGACAGCCCGGAGTATGTATACATAGGAGATGCCAATAAGGAGTAAGTTCAGAAGAAAAAGAGAGACCACAAAAAGCCCATAGATGACATTGACACGGATACTCCCACAGGATAATTTTGCAATGCCCATGTGCTCACAGTAGGAATGGGGTATTATATAGGTCCGGCAAAAGGATAGGCGGCAGACTAAATAGACCATAGGCAGTGTGAACAAAATTGGACGGAATACAATGCATATAGTGATGCCTAGCAGCACACGGGCTGTCAGGATGGTTGTGTAGTGCAATGGAGCACAGATGGCCACATAACGGTCAAAGGCCATGGCCACTAGGACCTCAGCTTCCATGCCAGTGAAGGCATGGATCAAAAACATCTGGGTCACACAAGCTCCAAAGTTAATTTCATGAGCATCCAGCCAGAAGATGCCAAGCATGCGGGGCACCGAGGCTGTAGAAAGTGCCAAATCAATTGTTGACAGAATAGCCAGAAAGTAGAACATAGGATCTCGGAGGGTCTTCTCTGTCTTGATCACTATGAGGATTGTGGCATTGCCCAACAAAGCCATAAGATAAGCAGTGCATAATGGCAGGGAGATCCAGGTGTGGATTCCTTCCAGACCTGGAATCCCAGAGAGGAAAAATATGGTTGGGTGGAAAATGCTGCCGTTGTGATAAAACATTCTTCCAAGTGGTGAAATAGGAGAAACTGCCATTCTTAGGGGAAGAACAAGGGGAAAGCTTAAATAAGGAATTTACTATCAACATAGACAAGAACTTAAAATGTTACCTACATGCAGGAGTCTTTTAATAAAGTTATTATACTAAACCTAATTATTTGAAAAGGCCAAATGCAGTAAACTTCCTCACTAGTAGTTGTATTGTTAATAGCCATTTCATTCTAATTTTTAACATTTAATATTGTTCAACAAGTCCACTGTTGAGTTATAAGAAATAGAACTTGTTATTAACTTTGGAAAAATATTGTATGTCCTGTACTGTGAGCTGCTTGACTAGTGGGCACACAGGAAGAATCAGAGTATATATACACTCATATACAGAAGTACAAAACAGAGATGAACAGTGTAGATAGTAAATATGTACAACAAGATGCCTTATAAAAACCCATTGTCATAACGTTGATTCCAATGCATGGCAATTTTAAATGGTTTTGTTGAAACGATAAATCTTGGCTGGTCAAATTCATTATTTCTAGATGCTATTAAGGTGACTACAATTTATTGTAGTCTTATGAATAACAGACTTGTACGTTGCATTATCTCATGCTATCCTGCAAATCCATGATTTGAATGTGTGTTACTTTTTGTAATTATGTATTTGTTAGTTATTATCATTGATAAAGGACTTCTGGTGCTCTAGTAAGGTGTTGCACTGCAAACTTCAAAGCAAGTAGTTTGAATCCACCAGCTGCTCCACTAGAGAGAGATAAGCAATCCCCACCTGTTTGATTTACAGAATTAATAAACTTATTGAAGGATTGGCTATCAGGTGGTTCTGACTTAACAGCAATGAGAAAGAGGAAAAAAGGAAGAATATTGAAATAATACAAAAATATTTAGACCATGCTTAATATGCTTTTACGAACACAGGTGTAGACAATACAAAAAAGATTTCCAAGAACAAAAGCATAATTTCTCTGATTTACTTCCCAAGGAACAGACAAGGTGAGTTCTGCCTTTGAAAGTGAAAAGATTCCTAATTTGTATATTTAATTTATAGAATATTAAGTGTATTTTGTAACTATTTTCACTTGGTCCTCGTAATGTGAAATAAAGTGTGAATTCCATCCTCATCAGAATGAAAACCAAATATCATGACTAGTCGTGGAATGCATACAGAAAAGGGGGAAAAAACCAAACCAAACACACAAACATTAGTTATTATGGAATCTGTTTTGACTTACAGTAACCCCATGTGTGTCAGAGTACAAATATGCGCCATTAGTTTTTAATGATTGTTATTTTGGGGGAAAATGTGAAAGGATTCAGTTTAAAAAAATAACCCTTCACCCAATTTTAATTGGTGATTCTCTTAAACTATGTGCATTGTACTTTATGAAAATTATTTTAAAGTGATATGTTGGTGGTTTTTTGTTATGCTATTTGAATGTTTCATTCATTAAAAATTTCATATTTCTTTTCCTGCACATACCTCTTTTTTTTTTTTTTTTAATCACTGATACAGTGCTAAAATTCACTGAGCTTTCTTCATTCTTCACCAAGTCTGGAAATCTGAGCCGAAGATGACATCGATGGCTTCAGAAGGACTGAGTGATGGGATTTTTGAGCAACACAGACTGTTCAGATTGGCAGTTTAACTGCAGAGGCAAATGACTCCTTTAATTGTCTAAAGGAAATAAAGGAAAACACATTTACAATGTTTTAAAAATGATGCAGCAACAGCCATAGCATTCTATGTTCAAATAATGAAATAAAGAGATATTCTCTGATTCACCAATTTAGGGCACAGAGGTTCATCGTCAGGAAGAAGTAAAGATAGGCTTTTGTATTTACCCTTACTATAGCCACATATATCTGACAATAAATATATTGACAGGACACACATCAAAATACAAAAATGAAAATAAACTTTTTTCCCCCTCTGGGATTTCCTCAGAGACAGAAAAAGAAAGAATGAGTTATTGTATAATTATGAATTTGTTTGTTCTTTTTTAGTCACTGAGATGCTCAGATAATGATCAGTGGCAGGATGTGGGGCCAGTACAATATCTTTCATGCTCTGATATCAACTTTGAGGTTAGTACTAGAAGTGTATGATTAATATTGTTAACAATAACCTTAGATTTTAATTTCCTGTGTGCCATAATAGAAATATTCTACCAATCAACTAATCATTATTCAAATATATCTTAAATTAATTAGATCTTTATGTGTTTTAAAGAGTGTTCATCTCTGATAGAGACACACCTTATATTATTTTACATGCAAAAACGATACTGAAATGCTTATCAAATTCATCAATTCTTACCCTCCTCAGTTTCTTCTCTTTCAGTTGACCTTAGTACACATCTCAATCAAGAGAAAATGTCTTTGTAATACTCATTCTTCAGACATGAAGACACAGGGAAAATACTAAGCAATACAAATAGGGTACTTTTATTTCATATAATCTACAGAGAGTAGTTATATTTAACCTCTAGTGGTTTAGAATATAAGGAAATTAGTTATATATTTAGATCCTAGTGGTTTAGTATATCTTGGAACCTTTAACTTCAGTTTCTACTTTTAATGGAGCCCTGGGATTAACTCCTCTGAGATTATTAAAAACCCTTCAGATTCTAGAAAAAAGAGAGCCCTAAAAAAAGTTCCATGAGTAAAAATGTATATACAGAAAAAGATTAATGTAAGGTCTGAAACACACATCTTATTACTTATGTGTAGCATAAACAAAGATAATGTTCATTTTCCTCTAGTAAATTTTTTCAGTTCAATTCTTTTCAATCATCATTAATTATTAATTCATCTTGATTGCATGTGTGATCAATTTCAGAGTTCAAAAGTACATAAAAGTCTTTAATCTTTGGTGTTTAAGGAGGGTGGCATGATTTTAATTATAAAAATTTAATAATTAACTGGTTTTCCTTTTAAATGATTGGCTATCATCCTACTTTCATAGTATTATACATTAGGATAGATCTTAAAATGTTTTTGATAATATTATTTTTCCTTTCATTTTCAGTGTCAGTATTTCAGATCATATGTTTATCAGATTTAAAATTGCCAATGGCAGTCATATCAGCTCACAAATTCCAAGGTATTGATTTTTACATATTTCATTTCACTTTTGACAACCTCCAACTTGCCTAGATTCATACCAATTACTAACGGGTGTCTGCAACCATTTCTCCTAGTTTTTCATCAAGCTCTATCAGCAAATGTCTGTAATGAAGGACAAGTCTGCTCAGAGAAGGAAGATCTTAAGCAGTTGTATTTTAAGTTTTCAAACTTAGGGGAATATTGTTCAGCTGTACACCAATCAACTATCTTTTTCTATTCATAAGACTTCCACTTGATCCCTTTTTTAGTGGTAGGCCAACAAGATCCCCTTGATGATCTGTTTTCTTCTAGAAGCTCCATTTAGTCCTGTTCACTGTTGTGAGAGCTATAATTAATTACAAAATATTTCAGAGTTTTAGTAATATTGATTCTTTATTCTAATTTTCTTTTTCTGTCTTAATCTTATCCAGGATACTTAATTACATTTAGTAGGCATCATTCTTTTAGATTTCTCTTAACTGTGAAAGTTTCCAGACTTGGACAATTTTTTAAGTCTTTGGCAGCTTTGAAAATATTAATCAGATGTTTTGTAAAATATACTGAATATGTGTGATGATTGGATTAGGATCAAAGGGTTTTTCTGTTTCTTGGTTGGTTTGTTTTTTTTTTTAAATAGATGACCTTGAGGGAGAGTGTAATTTTAACTATACTGTGTTAAGAATGCTCTAACATGCATGGTTTAAAATCAGAAAAGGTGCAAGTCAGGGTTGTCTCCATACCTATTCAATCTGCTTACCAAGCAAAACAGTAAGGAAGTTGGCCTAGATGAGGAAGAATGTAACATATGTGAAGTGGTTGGATTCTGGAAGGTGGATTTTCTTGTTTGTGTTGAGGGCTGGGTGTGGACTGTTTGGTTGTTCACAATCACACTCACTGATTTCATTTGAGGGATTTAACAATTATCAGGGGACTGTTAGCCTCTTGTTTAGAGTCATTCAAGACCTGGTGGATGGGCTTTTGTATTTAAATGGCCTTTATATTTAAGGATGGTTGCCCTTTGTATGTGGCCAGAGGACCACAGGCCCACGGAGCTAGTGTTAATTTTGTTAGGGATGAACATTCTTCTAAGAGGTACAGTATTAATCTGTCAATTGCTGTACTAAGGTAACTTGGGATGCTGTGACACTGGTATGTCAAATGCCATAGTGATTACCCGTGGTGGACAGTGTTTGGTGGAGCTCTCAGATTAAGAAAGGCTTGAAAACAGGAGTGGTACCCACTTCCTAAACATGCCTCTGGAAACTCTGTGAACTTAGAGAAATGAGGATATAATAGAACAGGGTTATATATTTTGTTTTTAGGATTGCTGAGTCGTTCTTGACTCAATGACACTTAATAACAACAACAGCAACGTATCATGGAAGAGATCCATATTTGTTTGCATTTCAAAAAAATGGTGGCCTGACAGTGTGGAAATTATCGAAAAAATATCACTAATAACACATGCAAGTAAAAATCCTGGTCCAAAAACACCTGGAACAATACATTGACAGAGAATGGCCAGAAATACAAACTGTGTTTAGAAGAGGTTGTGGCACTGGAGATAAGTATCATTATCTTTGTCTATCAGTCATATACCTTACACTGTAAATTTTATGTGTTAATAAGATTTGATTTTTGTGTGGTTTTCCTTATCATTATATAATCATTTTAATTTGATGTCTTTATTTCCTATTCCCCCCCCTTGTTTTCCTAGTTTTGATTCTCTGAGGTGCATCTAGATTGCTCAGATTCATAGGACTTCAGTGAATTGAATAAAGCATTCAGGTTAACCTATTTTCATCACTTCGGGAAGCCTCTGTTGATCCCCTCTCATCTTGATATTCTCACATGCCTGAAATAGCCCTTGCCAACACTTCTGAAAT